AAAAAGAAAAAAAAAATATTTTTTTTTAAGAAAGGAACTGCAAAGGAAAAAAAATAAAATAAAATATATATATATATATATTTTTTTTAATACTGATGATGAAAGAAAAAAAATAAAATGAAAAAAAAATAAGAAAAAAAATAAAATGAAAAAAAAATAAGAAAAAAAATATTTTTTTTAAAAATTTTTTAACGAATAGAGGAAATTGCAAAGGGAAAAAACGAAATTAAAGTAAAAGGAAAAAAATAAAACTTTTTTAAGAAATAAAGAAAAAACTGAAAAAAAATACATTTTTTTTAAGAAAATTTTTTAACGAATGGAGAGAAACTGCAAAGGAAAAATAAAAAAAACAATATATATTTTTTTAAAAATACCAATATAACTACACTCCAGACTAATAAAAAAAATAATATATAAAATTTCTTTTTAAAAAAAGTTGGTGTTTAGATGAAAAAAAAAACCTGATATATTAGGTAGAGCCCGTGACCAGAAATGAAAGCCATAAAAGCCAAATCTGAGATCTGAATCAGATCTGTCGGATCCGATCTGAACAGATTCAGATTTGAGTAAGTCTAATCTGAATCTGATCTGACATGATCAGATTTGATCTGAAGCTAGTCCGATCTGTTCAGATAAAAAATTTTTTGATCTGAATCCGAATTGCAGATCAAATACAATTAATCTGATCTGAGTCTGACGAATCTGATTCAGATTAAATCTGATCAGATCAGATTTTTTTCGGAGCACTACTATGAATAAATTTAATTATAGAGGTTTCACAAATTTTGGCAGTTTCGCACGTTTCAGCAGTTTCGCAAGTTTTGGCAGTTTTGCAGTTTCACAGTTTTGCTACTATGTAAGGAGTTTCACCTTTCGGCATTAGGCCAAATAGATTTTGGCAGGCAACCTTAATGATTGTAGTAACTAGATTATATAAAGTGGTAGTTAGACTGTATGATTATATGGTGGTAGTTAGATTATGATACCACTGAGCCAGAATTGGATTTTATACTACTATGGAATATAAATTTTGCTAATTAGCCAATTACACAATCACAATTTAATTTAGGATGAGAAATAACTGGCATTACTTAAAATAAACTATTTATCTGATTAAAAGAGAAAAGAATGGGGGTGATGATTTAATCTAAGTTATTTAACCCAGGCAAGTTAAATTTTTTAATATAACTAAAATATAAAATTTTTTTTATAATGAGAGGTGATTTAACTCAGGGGTAAACTCATAAAATTATATTATATTATAATAAAATACTATTAATTTTTAAAGTTTATTATTAGATTTATCTTTTCATTTGGTTAATCTACTATATAATAATTGTTTTCCTGTGTGACAGTCACGTTTAGATTACATATTTATATCTGTGTTCCCATAACGTTTAGACTACAATTTATACCTGTGTATCCGTAACATTTAGACTACGAATTTATACCTGTGCACCCGAAAGACTGTATAAAATCACGTATAACATTTAACCATCGTACCGATCACATTGTATGTTTATCTGATGTTGCGGAGTAACGGGTTTAATGGCTAGTTACTATATATTTTGTATTGATTACTACCAGTAATAAATAAGAATATATATATTTTTAAAAAACTTTTTAGAAAATTTACATACTGAAAAATTCTTAAAAAATAAAAATAATTTGAACAATTAATAGAATTGGTGCAAAAAAATTTTATTCAGTAGTAACTTTTGCAAAAAATATGGTTTTAGAAAAATATTTACTCATTTTACTACTAATGCAATGTACTTATAAGTGATATTATGAAAATTGATTGGGCTGCAAAAATCATTGCTAATTTGCTAATTGCAAAAAAAATAGTATATATTTTACTCAATTACATATTGTAGGAGAAATTTTAAAAAATTAAAATAGCTAAAAATACAGTAAATTAAAAAAAAATACATTAAAACAAAATGAATAAAGTTTTTAATTGTACAGTTTCAATTATTAAATATGAAAATGTATTAAAGCAAGTAAGTAATTTTTTTAAAATTTTTTTTTAAATTATAATTTTAAACTTTTAAAATATATTATAATTTATTTTATAGATATTGCACATATAATTAGTCAAGAAATTCAATTAATTTTATGATAAAGGGATTTTTTTTAGAAATGTAAAAGATTTAAGAACAATATTATTACCAATAAAAAAAGCTTTAGGTTGTTTTTGAACACAAAACAACATTAGTTTACTGTTTCATTAATCTTATAATTATGGTAGCAGCTATTAAAGAATTACCTGATATCATCGTACAATACTTTTGAATACCAATAGTTTATAAATATTTGATCTAGGTATTTAAACAAATATTCATTGTAAAAAAATTCCATTGTATACAAATAAACTAAATTACAAGTATTTATAATTAATTTATAGTAATAAGTAAAAGTTTAATACACCTAAAGCATGATCTGCATTAGCCATACGACAATATGCGGTATTTACATTGGTTAACGTCACTTCCGTCACTTCCGTCAATTCGTGACGTTAACCAATATGAACAGTATTGAACACAAACAATCCGTACCATGATTCCCTAAAAAGTAGTATTTAAATGGAAAAGAATTTTACTATTGAACAACATATTTGGAATATAAGGTAAATTCAAAAGGTATATCAATTACCAATAAAAATCGGATGCTATCATTCATGTTATTTAGTGGCCTGATAAAAAGATCTGATGATAAGAATTGCCTAAAAAAGTTGATGTTCTTCGCCTCAATATCTTGTTTTAATATAATGAAATATGATGAATATGATGAATATGATGTAAGAGTAAACAGTTAATAATAAAGTCATCAGGACAAGATATAGTCATAAAAACCATTTTATATGTGAGAAACCATGCCACATTTTTTTTTGATCTTATGATTTAAAAAGGCGTATAACTTGTGTATGAGAAATTTTTTTTTAGTTAAAAATTTCTCACAGTTATCGTTGAAATTTCTGGAAATTTCCTAATCATGAAGATATAAAAAGGGACTATCTTTTTAAAAATATTTTTCTCAAGAAAAATATAACATTATTAAAAAGAATATTTTATACCAAAAAATATTATAATTTCTTATTGCCTTTTTTTTAAAAAAAGAAAACAAGATGTCTACAATTAAAAAGATTAACGAATTTAATGATCTCAACGATCCATTTAACGACATTAGATTAAACGCTCCTGAAATTTTCAATTCTTGTAAGTAGAAAAATAAAAATTCCCATCTTAAAAAAATTCCCACCGTAAAAAAAAATAATAATTTTTTTTTTACTCAAATTTTTTCAATTTAGCTCCAAGAACAAGGCGTCGTATGAGCGAATTAATTCCAAACGATCCTCTGAGAGAAATTGAACTTCATGCTCCTGAAATTTTTGAACCAAGAGCTAAAGGAAGACGTATGAGTGAATTAATTCCTAATGATCCATTGAGGATGATTGAATTAAATGCTCCTGAAATATTTCATTAAGTAATTTTTTTACTTTTGAGGAAAATTTAAATTTTTTTGTAATATATGTATCGATTCTTTTATCAAATAGTTTGTAATTTTACATTACTATATTTTATTGTACATAATTTCATGTTATTATCATCATTATTCTTTTTTTTTAAAAAACGTAAATAAAGAAAATATGTAATTACTGCGGCATCCATATGACTTTTTAGTGTTGTCATGTGTTTAAGTATGAATTGGGTCCCTGCATAATAAAAATAAGGGTCTTTCTTAATGTCAATTTTTCTCCATGTGAAAAAAATCCTTTATAAATAACCGGTCAATTCATTACTTCAATGAAAAGAAATTTTTTTTTATGTAGTATTACATCATAATACAGGGGGAATAATCTCTTTTTAGTCACGGACCATTCTACAAACGGTATTATTGACGATACAAAAGATAAGATACTCTCCGGACAATAACGTTGTGTCACCGTGGTAAATTGCTGTGATAATTAATTAACTTTGTGATAGTCGGGGGTTCTTTTTTTTAAAAAAACAATTGAAAAATTTTACAAATACGCTAAAAAAGAAAAACGTAATCGTATAATAATAATGTACAAGTAGTGTTACTTTACACTAAATTCCAATAAAATGATTCGAAAATAAAAGGGAAGTTACACTTGGTACAAAACTTCGACCGGTATGTCCAAATAAGATCCTAACCTATCAGATTAAAGATCACATTATACGTGTCAATTAATTATAGAATCAAAAATTTTTTTTTTTTGACAATGAAAATTTTAAAAATGCAATTATTTAAATATATATATATATATTTTTAACCGGAAAAGAATAAATATCGATTTGGGAAAAAATTTTCATTATCGTTTTTAGTATTTTTAAACTAAATAAAGGTATATTTAATATAAACCACGCGAACATTTAAAATTTATCCGAATAAGCATACATAATTCTTCTTGCAGAAATTAATTAATTAAACATATGTACTGTGTATCAAACTTTATAAATCTGGTAATAAATAATTAGACACAAAAAAAAAAAATATCTTTGTGGTTTTTTTTTTTTACTGTTTTTTTTTACAATAAAAAAAGGTAACAAAAAGTGAAATAAAAGAAAATGTTTTTAATTGGATGAATACTGTACTTATTTAAAGTGAGAAAGTAAAATTTTGCATATCCATTTTGATGAATTACTATTAAAGAATAAGAAGTAAAAAAGTGATCAAAAATCTTAGTATTATATACCACTTTTTTATTATTATCAATTTAATTCTTTATTCAGAATAATTGTAAATTGTATACAATACTATAATAAATTACCACTATTTTGTATATTTATTTACATATAAATAATTTTTAGAATTTCAAATATATAACATGATTAATTGCATTTTTAAAAACTACAATTGATTAGGCTTTCAATTAAAAAAAAAAAAATTTGAATGATTTGGAAACTTATGTATTTGAAAATTACCAAGCATTTTTAAAAAAATCTGGTAATTTATTATAAACTTGTAATATATAGAATATAGAAATTGTTCTTTAAAATTGATTTTTGATTTTTGTATCTTATGATCTTAATTTTAAAGATATAAAAAAGAATTTTTTAAATATATATATTATAGAATACAATAAAAATTATTTAAATAATAATGGTATGAATGGTATATAATATTTTTTATGTATTAAGAAAGTAATATAATCTTTTCTAAATTGTTATAAGGTAATATAAGGTAGTAAATTAAATAATTTTTTATATTTTTTATATAAAATTTTTTAATCTTTACTTATTTTAAATATTGTAAAATTTTTTTTTTGAAAAAGTTACCTTTGATTAATAATATTGATTTTTTTTTAAAAAAAAATATAAAAAGTAAATATATACATATATATACTAGTTTTATCTTTTGAAAATATAAACTTGAAAGAAGACTTTGATTTAAAATTAGAAAGTAATCTATTACTGAAATTTTTTTTTTTTCAAGCTAAAAGTATTCTTAATTCATTCTAATCTAAGTAAATTACTTGATTAAAATATATAAGGAAAGTATCATTATTTTTAAATAATATTACTTTTGTGATTTACAAGTAAATCAAGTAAATCAAGAAAATTGAAGAAAATTGGAAATATTTAAAAAATAAATGTAATTTACTATTTCGCAAAGAAACATCTGTAAATTTCAATATATACGTACTAAATTTTAATTAATTATTTTTGCCATTTTACATTTACTTTACAACTTGTAATTTTTAATTACTTTTTTATTATTTCGCATTTATTTTACAGAAAAGAAGGACAGTATGATAAACTGATTTTATTTTTATTTAAAAAAAAAAAAAGAATTTAATTTGAAAAGATACAAAAAAAAATCTTTGTTAAAAAAAACCGCAATTTTTTATCTAAAATAAACCTTTTTTCTTTAAAAAAAGGATTACATATTTTGTTCTAAATAATAATATTTATATATATATATATATACAGTATGTACAAAATTATTTTACAAGCAAAAAAAAAAGAAGAAATTTTTTAAATAAATTTTTAAAAAAAGAGAATTCAGTAAAAGTTATAATTGTTATTGAAATTATTGTAACTGTAATTGTGAAGATTAAAATTTGTACGAGCTCGCCTACTAATTGGAGATTGAATTCCAAATTCTTTCATAATTCGTTCTTCGCGTTCTTTTTCCTCGGCAAGTATCATTTCAACTTCTGTAACTTCAACCTTACTATTTAAAGCAGCTTTACCTTCGGCTATCATATCAGATAATTTACAATTAAATTTAAGGAAAATATCTTCATCATCATCGACATTATTATCAGAATGAGTGGAAGTATTATTAAAACTATTACTCATATCAACAGAAGAAGATTTACGACGTATAAATCTACGGCCACGACGAACACGGAATTGTCTTCGTCGTGATGAATTTGTTGGAGAGTGTGTTGGTGTTGAAATAATTTTTTGAGAAGTTTGAGTAGTTGGATAATCTTGTTGTGAAGGTGATGTAGAAATTGTAAGTGAAGGTTTAGTTTCAGATGTGGTTGTATTGGAATTTTCAAATGTTGTTGTTGTTGATGATGGCTTTAAATAAAGTAAAGTTAAAAGAGGGGGGGGGGGTTAATATTTTTTATTATTTAGTTACGAACGATAATAAAATGAAACAATAATAAAGAAGAACATACCATAGACCAAGAATTATCGTAAGGTGGAGGAGGTTCTTCATCTTCAACAGTTTCTACATTTTCACCCCAAGTAGAAACATCTTTTTTCTTTTGATCATAAACATTTTCATCATCATCATCGATTTGTAAGATATCATCATCGTAACCAAAATTTTGTCTCGTTGAATGACCTCCAGTATTTAAAGTATTTCCGGTTAATGTATTTATGGTATCAGTGGCAAAAGCGGAAGTATAGGTAGCAAGTTCTACAACTTTATAAAATAAGTTTGCGGCAATTCCAGGACGATGTTTTTTAAATGGAGGTTCTTGTATATTATAATCAGAAATTTCTTGTTGTTGTTGTTGTTGTTGTTGGAATTGTTGGTATTGTAAGTTATGTTGGTTTTGTAATTCAAGACGTCGCTTAGAATTTGGCGGGAAATCTTGTATTGAAGTTGACTGCATTTTTGTTTTGATATTTTTTTTTTAAAAAAAAAATTTGGGTATAAAGTAATATATATAAAAGGGTTTATTGGAAGAAAAAGGTAAAGTAAAAGAGCAACAAAAAAATAAAAATAAAAATAAAAAATATTTTTAAATAAATAATAATAAAAAAATCGATTTTTGTTGCTCCGTGCGAGGTATTTTTTTTTTATATATTTTTCGTGTACGAGAGTAACGGGTATTAATACTGTATCGGTAGTATCGGTAAGAAAAAAAAAAAAAAAATTTTTTTTTTT